TCTTCTTCTGTCATCCTTGTTCATTGTCCAATTCTCAGATGCATTGCAAGTGGCTGAAAAGACTATGGCCTTTATTAGGCATATCTTAGTTCTCAAAGTGACATCATTGTTCCTCAATAATTTGGAGACGTCCCTGACTACAGACTTTCCCAGTGCAATATATGTCATGATCTCCTGACTGCTGGTACCAAGCGTATTGACTGAGGAGCCACATAAGATGAAGTTGTTAAGAGTCTCAATCTTTTCTCTGTCTATTGGTCCAGTGATGAGAATTTTTATTTTCTTGATGTTAATTGGATAGTTTTAAGAAAATTCACTTTAAAAGTAATATATGATAGCATATTATGATTATCACAGGAATCCAGAATTAAGGTTGCATAGTGGAGTGCATTTGGGCCAGGGGTGGGGTGTGAGGAAAGGGGCAGGGGGAATTGTCTACCAATGAAGAAGTTTATCTTTTGCTTTTCAAAGAGAGGAGCAAATTGGGGGGAGGGGGATAAAGAAAAAAGTGCAACAATAATGAATGAAAATCCAAAATCTCTGTAAATGTTCATTAAAATTAATAAAATAAAATTTAAGAACATTTAAAAAAGAAAATTCAAGAAACACATAAAGCACACGAGGATATAAAGAACTGAATGCAAATGAAAAAGAAAGAGAAAGAAGAGAAGAAGAGGGAGGAAGGGAGGGAAAGAGAAGATATGCAAGGAAATTACCTGAGATCCGCACAATAAAAATGTTCAAAAGTAAAAGAAGATAGTGACAAAACAAAATGTCAGTAGTAGTAGAAGATAACTTACCAAGTTTAAAAACTAGCTATTAGAGGAATGCAAATGGAAGCAGCCCCAGGAACAATAGCAAAGTTCAACAGCAAACAGCTATTGATGGAGAAGCCGAAAGATTGGATTTCTCACACCCTGCTGGTGAGATTGTAAAATGGTACAATCACTATGGAAGGCTGTCTAATGTTTTCTCTTAAAGTTAAAAACTGAAATAATGTTTGATCCAGCTATTCCAATAGTGGGAATATAACCTAAAGAAATCAGAGTTGTGACATAAATAGACATATATATATGTTGTTGTTATGTGCCGTCGAGTCGCCTGCGACTCATAGTGACCCTATGTACAACAACCCTAAACTCCGCTCTGTCCTGTGCCAATCGCACTGTCTCTGACACTCCCATCCCAATTATCCCAGTCACTGAATCAATCCACCTCATAGAGGGCCTTCCTCTCCTGCACTGTCCCTTCACCCTCCCAAGCATGAGGTCCCTCTCTAAGGACCGGTCTCTCCTCACAACATGTCCGAAGTATGTTAGACAGAACCTCAGAATCCTTGCCTCCAAGGAGCCACCCGGTTTAACCCTTTCCAGGACAAATCTGTTTGTTTTCCTAGCAGTCCAGGGTATTCTCAGTACTCTTCTCCAGCACCACAGCTCAAAGGCATCAATTCTTCTTCTATCCTCCTTGGTCATTGTCCAACTCTCTGATGCATAACAGGTGATTGCGAAGACCATGGCCTGTATCAGACGCTCCTTAGTCTCCAAAGAGACACCATTGCTCTTCAGCACTTTGGAGAGGTCCCTAACAGCAGACTTTCCCACGGCAATGCGCCTTTTAATTTCCTGGCTGCTGGTGCCAAGACTGTTGACTATGGAGCCAAGCAAACTAAAGCTGCGTACAATCTCAATCTCATCACCATCCATCCTGATGCTGTCAGTTGGTCCAGTGGTGAGAATCTTTGTCTTCTTGACATTGAACCTCAATCCATATTGTAGGCTGCAGTCCTTGACACTCTGCAGCAGGCACTTCAGGCCCTTTTCAGTTTCAGCAAGCAGGGTTGTGTCATCCGCATAACGCAGGTTGTTGATAAATTGTCCACCAATCCTGACACCACATTTCTCCTCATAGAGCCCAGCCTCCCGGATATCTGCTCTGCATACAGGTTGAAAAGGTATGGAGACAGGATGCATCCCTGGCGTACACCCTTCCCAATATTGAACCATGCAGTGTTGCCCTGCTCTGTTCTGACGACTGCCTCTTGGTCCAAGTATAGGTTTCATATTAGCACGATTAAATGTTCTGGGATTCCCATTCTTCTCAGAGTCAGCCACAGTTTGTTATGATCCACACAGTCAAATGCCTTTGCATAATCAATGAAACACAGATAGACATTCTTCTGGTATTCCCTGCTTTCAGCTAAGACCCATCAAACATCAACTGCAATATCCCTAGTACCACAACCCTTTCTAAACCCAGCCTGGGCTTCTGGCAATTCTCTGTTGATGTGCTGTTCCAGTCGTTTTTGGATAATCTTCAGTAGAATCTTGTTTGCATGTGAAATCAATGATATTGTTCTGTAGTTTCCACACTCTTTTTGGTCACCCTTCTTTGGAATGGGAACAAATAAAGATCTCTTCCAGTCAGTTGGCCAAGTGGTTACTAGCCTAAAATAACTCACCCTAATATTTTAGTGTACTTCTGTCTTTTTCCTATGTGTAGAATTTTACAGAGTTGTAATCATTGAATATACAATTTCCATCATTTTTTTCACTTATCATATTATGAATATTTTTACTGTAGCTACATAGTCATATTTTATGGACATCATTGTTAATAGTTACACAGTATTTCACAGAATTGACCAGTGTCTTTATTTATTTAACCAGTTCTTCATCTTTAAAGTTTTCTTTACTTATAATAAATATGTACATGTTTATGGTCATTATTTTGAACTGTCAAGATGGAACTGACCCATAGGTGACCGTCCAGCACGTTTTCCCCAGGGCAGCTGGTTGCATGGCAAAAGATTTCACATCTTTCTCTTACAGAACAGCTGATGGATTTGAACCATGAGCCTTTGGGATTGCAGCACTGCTTCTTACAACTAGATCACCAGAGCTCCCTTGTGGTTATAGTATACTTTTATTTAATTTCCTAAGTATTAAAATTTGTCATTGTATACATATATAATAGAAATTTGTCATTTTAACTGTTTTAAAGTGTATAATCCATGCTAATTATTGCCTCCGAAAACCCTATGAACCTGGGAAAAGGATGAAAGTTATACAAGCATTCAGGTCTTTCGTTCATAGGGTGGCTATGAGTTGCCTATGACTCAAGGGCACGTAACAGGAACAACAGCATAGAGAGAGATCAGTTGGCCTCGTGGACAAAAAGTGATGCTACCAAGCCAAAGGTGGATGACTTTAATCCGTGGCCCTTAGGCCTGTTTTTGTTTTTAGTCAAACATTCTTCTAGATCATATAGCCCTGGTCTGTCCACTTTCTGTACAGAGGGAACTCATGGTTGCTGTGAAGCTGAACACTGTAACACTGACGTGTCAAATACGATAATGGTTACCCATGGTGAACAGTGTTTGGTGGAACTTCCTGATTAAAACAAGCTTGGAAGTAGGAGTGGCATCCACTTCCAAAATAGCTTGCCTCCAGAGACCCTATGAACCTGGAGAAAGGATGAAAGTTATACAAGCGTTCAGGTCTTTCACAACTTGATGACACTTAAGATCAACAACAACATACAACTATCACTATTACCCATTTCCAAAAATTTATCATAATCCCAGTTAAAAAGTCAAAACCCGTTGAGAAATAATTCCTTGTTCTCCACTTCCCTAACTGTGGCCTAGAGGTAAGGAGCTGTGTTACCAGCCTGAGGGCACATGATTCAAATCTACCAGCTGCTCCTTAGAAGACAGATGGGTGATCTCTTCCTGTTTGAGATTTAAGGCCTTTGAAAACCTGCTGCAGGGTCGGCTATGATTCAGTTCCAATTTCAGGGCACAAGAATAACTATACTTAGTAGGAATACGCAGCCAGCCCCAAAGCCCTGCCTCTCGGGAGGCTTGAATGCACCAGCAGCTGCACAGGGGAGAACGAGCAACCTCCTCCTAGAGAAACCCACTGGAAGGTCAGCTAGGAGCAAGTGCCTACTGTGTGGCAGTGAGAACCCTTGGTGTGTTTGTTGACTACAGTCTCTGATCTCCTGCAGCAAGAATTTTAAGGAGGATCATAAAATATTTGTCTTTTGTTTGTGACATTTCACTTAGTATGATGTCCTCCAGGTGCATCCATGTCACATGTTATCAGAACTCTGCTTTTCTTTATGGCTGGATATGCAGTTTTCTTTTTCTCATGGTGAGTTCGTTTATATAGAATTAAAACTGCTTGTCCAAGGAATGCATTTCCCTCCTTCTCTCTATGTGTATTTACAAATAGTTTTTCTAAACATTACATGGTGCAATGACGGCTGACCAGAAGATCAGCAGTTCACACTCACCAGCTGCTCCATGGAAAAAATGAGGCAACCTGCTTCTGTCAAGATGCACAAATCTGGAAGCTCTATTGGCAAGTTCTACTCTGCCCAATGAATAAGGATGACAGAAGAATTGATGTCTTTGAGCTCTGGTGTTGGGCAAGGATATTGAACATCGCACAGACTGCCAAAAGAACAAACAAATATGTCATGGAGAGTGTGCAGCCAGAGTGCTCCTTGAAGGCAAAGAGAACAAAGCTTTGTCTCACATACTTTGGGACCTTGCTAGGAGAGGCTAGTCTTTGGAAAGGGACATCATGCTGGAAATGTGGAAGCTAGTGAAAAAGGCGGCCCTCAATTAGATATACTGCAGTAACTGCAGCAAGAAGCTCACGTATGTCAGAGATGTTGAGAATGGTACAGGATAGCTCAGGGACCAGATCCATTGTTCAAAGGGTTGCTCTGAGTTATACTCAACTCGACTGCAATTAACAACAGCTCTGTCCTGCAAAGTTAATATGAGTCAGAAATGGCTTGATAATAATGGGCAGCAGGTACTAGGGTAAATGAGGGCCAATTGCATTATGACCCTCTCATGAATAGAATTCTGATATGAGATATGAAAAGTAGAGGAAAGTGTTTCAACACCAAAGCCTAAGCCATGCCTTTAGAAATGTATCTTGATTCTCATTGACATAATGGTTTTGTTGCTATATTTCTTATAGACTGAGCAGTTGATAACGCTGTGGATCCTCTTCGTCTTCACCATTGTTGGAAATGCCATTGTGCTGTTCTCCACATGGAGACGGAAGAGAAAGTCAAGAATGACCTTCTTTGTGACTCAGCTGGCCATCACAGGTAGGTGGGCAGGTAAGAAAGGAGGAAGTGCTAGATCAAATCCCTATGCCTCATCAATGTCAATGAATTTTTTTTTCCAATAGAAATGTATTAGGGAACTCTGGAGTAATTTGCATAGAGAAATAAAACCAATGTTTGTATCTTTCCTCTAATATACATTACAAAAAGAACTCACTGCACAACAAACTTTGTAATGTCATTATGAGTGCCTGCCACAAGATACAATGGATTCTAAAGAAATTTACTCTCCCTAATGTCGCCCACAATAACCTCAATGATTCATGAAGGTAACAGCACTATTTCCACACATCTCCAGCAGAATAATTGTGAACAGAAGAAGGCTGCTCAGAGAATGAGCCATAATTAGCTCTATTGAATAATAATAAGCCAATTATCGAGATGTAAATCTGAGTCTATTACTTTTGAAATGTAAATAATAAGAAATATTACTTCTAAAAACACTATAAGGATATAATATCCAGGATTCTTAAATGTGGGCTTTGGGACTGGATGTTTCAGCTGTTGTTGCTAGTTGTACTAACTAGTTAATTCTGACTCACAGTAACCCAGAGTACAGCTGATGGAAACCTTTCCTGACTCTGAGCTATCCTCACAACCCCTGTTGTGCTCCAGCCCGTTGTTGAAGTTACTGAGTCAATTCACCTCAATAAGGGTCTTTCTCTCTTTCTCAACCCTCTACTTTCTTACCCAGGATATCCTGCTAAAGATACTATCTTCTCTTAATGCATTTTCAATATATTTGAAGTGAAGTCTCACCATCATTACCTCCAAAGGTCACTCCAACTGCACTTCTTACAAGACAGATCTGACAATGCAAAGATATCTACTCTTCCTTCAGTCACCTTGATTCATTGTCCAACTTTAACATGCCTCTGGAGCAATGAAAAATATCATGAATTAAGTCTCCTAAACTGACATTCTTGCTCTTTAGCAATTTAAAGAGGTCCTTGACACCAGATTTTTCCCAATGCAACACGTCTTTTCCATAGTTTAAACCATAGTTTGATCCATAGTTTGCACTGCTAATCTGGGCTTAATTTTCTCACGATTTCTTGATACTACAACCATGGGAGTTGTTTATGAATCCAAATAATGCAAAATCATTGACAGCTTCAGTCTTTTCTCCATTTATCATAAAGCTGCCTATCAGTCAAGTTATGAGGATTTTTGGTTTTTTGTGGGCTTTTTTGGGGGGGGGTTATGTTGAAATGTAATTCATGTTAAAGGTTTCAGGTAAAGTATGAGTAAGTCAGACATAAAGGGCTGTTGAATCAGCCCTTGGTTCATGGCAGCTTCTTATGCAATGCAACAAAATTCTTCCCATTCCTGTGCTATTCTCACTATTGCCTGTGGATAACAACATGTGATTAATTGGATTTCATTGGCTGATTCCTAAGAAGTAAACCTCCAGGTATTTTTATTTTCTTATTCTAGAAATTCTACTCATACATATTCATTAAATAAGTGCATTATAGCAATATGTTAAGTCTCCAGTGATAAACCAGTGATAGCTATGAGTGAAGAGTCTTGACTAAGAATAATGAAATAGTGTGAAGGAAAGACTTCCACAGGGGTAGGTCCAAAGTTCGATTTGGAAGATCTCACACTGAAAAAGAAACACAGCTTGAGACAATCTTCTTCAATATGCTAGAAGAAAGAGCAGACAGATGGGATTTTCCGAGCATCCCAACAAAGCAAGATATGGGGTCCTGAGTTCTAGGAGCAAAATTACTGCCATAACTCAATTTGAATTGACCTGAATTTGAATCAGACCAGAAAATAAATGCAAGGGAGGAAAAATACCAACAAGGAGCAATGATAAGTGATTGTCAGAAAAGGTTATTTGGTACATTTCAACCTGTGCTTTATCTGAATTTTAATGAAGACAGTAGAGAAGTTTCTGGAATGTAGTCTAGATTCAAAATATGTAAAAATATTACAAGAGCACATTATCTATATATTGTTGGCATCTTGAATGCCATTCCTCCTCTGTCTTACCTTCATTCCCTTTTCTACTCTTACATGTGGTTGCTCTCTCACGCTCGCTCTCTTGTGCTCACCCTCCCTCCCTCTCTGTGTCAATATGTAACAAGCCCATTTGCCTAAGCTGTGGTATTGTGCCTAGTTTGCCATTTTATTTTGTTTAAAAAACAACAACAACAACAAAAACATTATTGAAAACATAGAAGTGACATCAAAAAGCCCAAGTTACAAAGGCAGGAAATGTTATAGAAGAAATCTTCAATCTTGTTTTCTAAGCAGAAGTCTCATTTCTCTTTTGTGATTATAAGGATAGAGAGTAATTAACATGATCCGGCAAATACTGGAATTAAAAAACCTTGGATGAGGGTAACACAGTTTACTTTCATTATATTCTTTAATTACAGCATTGTAAACTACATTGTAGTTAACTATATATTCTGCAAGAATATGCAAATTTATAAGTAGCAGGGATATCAGTTTATAATTCGAAGTTTTGCCACAAATAATCAGTAAGTGAATAATTGGGGTTTTTACCATCTATTGTCAAAGAAAAAGTTGTTTGTTCTAATCTAATCCATAATTTTCACTGTTAATCTGAGTTTAATTTCTCATAAATGCTATAGAAGTCTATTTTTTATTTCTTTATTCTCTCTGGGAAAACTCAGTCATTTGAGAAAATTCCAAGTACAGAATTCTTAGAGACCCAAGGTCTGTCAGGGTCCAATAAATTTAAGAAGAATCAAAAAATGAGTTTATTTATTATGCAAAAGGGATCTTTGGTACTGTTATCCATAGGGCATTGCACTGCTCACTTAAAAGGCACACGTCTTTGGTGGTTCAAGTTCACCAGTGTCTCTGTGAGAGAAAGATGGGACATCTCATTCCTTTTGATTTATAGTGTCAGAGACCTAAGAGCAGCCAAGCTATAAGTTGATTCTGACTCATTGACAGTTTTCTTATATGAGATATTTACCCCAAACCCCAAATTCATTGTCACTAAGTAGATGATGATGGCCTAGTGGTAAGAAGACTGACTGCAATCCTAAAGGCATGTGGTGAGACTTCACAGGAGAATAGGCTATATTCTGTTGTGCAGTTTACTGCCTTTGAAAATCTGCTGGAGGGTCAGCTATTGGGGTTGGTTCCCTATCGATGGTATATAACAATAACTAGGGATAAGGGGAGTTATAAAAACATATGTATCTCAGAAGATACTTTAAAATACTAAGATACAGCAAAACTGTCTGTAGTTTGGTTCAGTTGTCTAGATTTTTTTTTACCCTACCTGTGAGCACTAGGGTTGCTCTACTGGTCAAAGAGATATGCACAGGGAAGGCCACCAGGAAGGTCTGCTATGGATCAAGGCTTCCCAAATCTATTCTTGTGCACTGAAATGTCTTAGTAATTTTGTATTGGGTATTTGTAAAAGAAAATCAGTGCTAATAAGCTTATTTTTTTTGGTGAGGCAACCCTAATGCTTTTAATAAAATAATATTTTCTATCATAGTGGAACATTTGGAAAACATCCTCCTACTTACATAAGCCTTTATTGATGTTTTGTAAAACACGTTGCTTTCCATTTTATTTACGTATTTTGTTAATAAGTTGAAGTTAGATTCTGTTGTCTAAATGAAAAAATTCCAATCAATGGTATTTTATTTTGACAAAAGTTTATTTTTGCCTACACAAAGGAGACTTTGAGTAGCAGTCCAAGGTTTATATCGTGTACTTTGTTAAAGAACTTCTTTTTTCGTAGTCATTAATGCTAAAGATACTCTTGATACAAGGTGGCTGCTGCAGCTCCTACCATCATGCCTAAATTCTAGATAGCAGAAAGAAGGAAGAAAGGACCTCCTTTTAACTGGCCTTTCTAAAAATTCCACCCATTAATTCTGTCTTGCATCTCTTGTTATCTTTAACTGAAGGAAAGGCTGGGAAATAATTTGCTTTCTTTCATCTAACCTCTGCCTTTTAGCAAGAATAAAACCAGATTTCTTTTATGAAGGAAGGTGGAGAGAATAGGAAGAAAGGTAATAGCAGGCCCTGTGAGAGCTTGTCTTCCATGCTTTTATCCCATTGAGCACTGAGATATTTAGACAATGACTCTGTCTCCACACTCATTTTCTGCTTTGAGAATACTTCTTCCAGAATGCTGTGTTCACTCTTCTTTGACATCTGACCTCTGACATTGTCAGCACACCACAGTGATCCATTGTATCATTTCACCATTACATGCATTAACTCCTGTTGTGGAGTATTTTTATTTGTTCTTTCTAATTTCTGGCTATTATGCAAAATGCTGCAATGAATACTTTCATAATTGAATCTTTATCATTTTGAATTGAATCCTCCATCACTTTATTAAAGAAAAGTGGAATTTCCTTTTCAGAAAAGTGAGATTGCTGCATCAAAGATCCTTTATTGCTATTGAGCTAGTTGCATCTTATTAAGTCACCCATCTCTAAAAGATGATGGGAAATTCTATGAGATAAAAGTGCTAGAAGCCACCAAGTTTTGTTTAAAAAGGTCTCAGAAAGCAAAAGCATTGTGAGTTTTCAATATTTATATAGAGTTATAATCTGTTTCTTAAAACCAGAGATTCTCTTTGCTCTTCTCTAAATAATACTTAACCAGCTAATCACTAGTAGTTTGTTTATTTTAAAAAGAAGCATTTTCTTTCCCTTATCAGTGCAACACAGAAGAATCCACGTTGAAATAAACTTTATTTTGCCTGCAGCACCTATAGCAACAAGCATGTATTTATGTGACCAAAGAGCACATTATTAACCAGAACACCTGTGTTGAGAAAAATGTTTCCATTTTATGCCTCCCTGTTTTACTCCAAGGAGCTCCGCTGCCATAGTTTGTAGGAAGTTGCAAGGCTAACCCAAAGGTAGTTGCTCTTTAGAGGTTCAAAGCCACCAGCAGTTCAGATGAAGAAAGATGGGCAATCTCCTCCCATGTGATTTCAGCCTCCATTAAACCTGCTGGAGAGG